TTGCGAAATTTACTATAAATATCGGAAGTACCTAAATTCTAGTCTTTTTATCAGTTCCTTTCGTCACACCGCGCACAAAAAAAATGAAACTAATTGGAAAAACAAACCTTTTTTGTAAGATTATTAAGAATATGGTCGAAACATTCCGTTACACTTGCACACCAAGCGGCTATTTTAGGTGAAATTTGTCGTTATCAAAGATATGGTCGGAAAAGTTATTTAAATAGCGATTCGTTATTCTTGTTCATGTAATCTGAGTTTGAACATATTTTTTTTTTGAAAAAACTGAGGCGTACGAGAGCTTCTGCAGCTGATGATATATTACCAACAGAAATAATAACAATTCTGAAGTAAGGCTAAAAATACAAACATGTAGACGGTTGGAACCAATGTCGACGACAGCTAGTTAGTTCGATTGGCTCAAATAGAAGCTTCTGCAAACTGTTCAATTCGAGTCTGAAAACTGCAACAGCATGGCCGTTCGATGGAAGATAATTACAGTGGATTACCAAGGTATACCACAGAGACAAAACGAATACAATCGGAAAAATGGGAGAAAAAAATTAAAGAAATTCGAGAAATTTCGGACCTTTTTAGCTGAAAAAATTAGTAGTATCAAAAGTAACAAAAAGAATAAAAAATCATATATTCAAGAAACTTTTATGATCAACACCTTTATCATACAATATGTCCAATTAGAGAAAATCTCGCTGGGAAATCTAAACTTAAATGCCTTTTCTTAACAATTTTGAAATGGAGAGAGCAATTTTCCGGCCTTTGAGCAAAAGAAAATGAATTGCACTGCCGAATTAAAATCGTAAAAAATAAATCTGGCGTGATCAAATTTTAAAAAATTGTTCTAACAAAAAACCATCACGAACTATATGAGTGTCTTCAGCGGCCCCTCGAACCAAGAAAGAAACAATCAAAGCTGTGCATTCTAATACACAAGTGGGCAACAAGACAGTAAAAAGGATCTTCGAGTTTCAATATGTACAAAAAAACACATCTGTAAGAAAACAGCTGGACTACGGGACTCGAACTCTGTCGTCACTAAAGTACGGATTCATCCTGTCAACAATAAAATATCTTTAAAGCGGAAAAATCAAACGCTGTTTCAATAATCAAATTATGCACGGGGATGTTTGATATTTAATAGCCCCGTAATACAACACATGTTGCGTTTGTGAAATTAGAAACTTAGTTATATATTCTTGTTACTGTTATATAATTGATTATATATTCAGATGCATTTTCGACGTTCTTGAATAGAAAATAAGCATGGTGGCAATGTTTGGCCAAGAATTCATAATATATTTGTTTTTCGAAACAGTTGAGCGCTCACTTCCAGTTTGGCAGTTTTCGCGTCATGTTTTCGCTCCTTTACTCGACGAACGGAGCTTTGTTGTTGCCACCACGTCTCGTATATTATATTACACTCAAAGTAAAATTTCTACCCTCATAATTGATTGGGGGTGAAGAGCAAACTGTGTTTTCAAAGCAGCCTCATAATGAAACGTGAATTGCCGTGATTCAGATTCCAAAAAATCAAGAAAAAAAGCTGTGGCAGTGTCCAGAAAAATTGTTCTGGTTTTAGACCAATATTAATATTCTCATTTTAATCGATTTAAAGCCAGAGAAAAGCCAGCTCTCCAGCCTTCTCGACGCTCAAAAAAACTTCATAGGGAAACACTTCATAGGTGAGTCCAGGAGCTGAGAAACACCGCTCCAATCCAGCATTGGAGGATATAGGCGTGGCCTAGTCGAGTAATTTTTTCGACCAAGTATGAAAAAAGGACTGCATTCGAACTGGAAGCTCAAAATGTTGAAAACGATGTGTTGATAACATGTTCAAAATAGGTCTGTTAAAAACACCTTGTTCAAAACATGACAAACCTGATTTAAACGTTAGCTGTGCCGTTATTAACCAGCTTCTGAAGCTTTAACAGCTGCCCTAATTTTGCTTATTTTTCATTTTATAGCTACGTAGTTAAGAAGAAATTTCATACATTTTGTCCCCACTGACGTTTCGTCCCTACCTTAATACACAAATTACACAGAGGCGAAGCGGAGCGCTACAAGATACTGAAATATTATAGAGGAAAAAACTATTTGAAAAAATATTGACAAAAGTTGCAAAATTACAGCTACAAAAACTTCATATTTGTATCGAATGAAGTTTATAAGCAGCCCTTAAAAATGAAAATAGAAAACCGCGCGGCAACAAAGGCGGCAAACTTTGGCCGAAACATAATGAGCCGAAAACACAACTGTTGGCATAAAAAAATTTCATAAAATTTAAAGTTTTCACGACCCATTTTAACTGAAACACATAAACCCAAACGGATATATTTTACCCTAGCAAAAATAGTTGATGAGTCGATATATCATAAACTGAAACTGTTTGCATATTTAAAAAACACGAAAAAAAACTGAAAATCAGACATAATAAATTTACAAATTTGTGAAGTTTCAGGTATAGAAAAAACTCTTTAAATTAGAACAAAACCCATGCTTTAAAAAGTAAACCAGTAGAAACTTACCAGATAAAAAACAAAAAAAGATCCGACAGAAACAAGGACAAAAACCACGAACACGAAAAAAATGAGAATTTTTTGAAAATATAATTACAAACTGAAACGGTTTGAACTAATTATTACTTAAGTAACACTACTTGTAGTTGAACTTTCAAGAAACTGAGCAAGTCAGAAGATCCTCTAGAAGATATCCTCTAGCAGTGTGGACAAAGTTGTTTACGGGAAAAAAGTCTAGTACTCGATTACAACACCCTTGCTTATCTTTCTTAATTTACGATTTGAAGGGCGAAATGTGTGTAGCGAGAAATGTCAGAATACCCTCAGCACAGATAAATACATTGAGACGCGTAAATTTAAATTTAAGTCAAAAAAGTTTCAAACTTTTCCATTGGAAGGGCAAGAAATTCTTCGAAATTGCATAGCTGTCAATATTGTAACGTAGGGGTGACACTTGGAAGTTGTATCTAATTAAACCACTTCCTTTCCTCACAGAAAAATCCTAAGCTCTATAACAAAAACGAGAGCGATTGGTTCTTCTAGTTGTACGTTTGAAATTATTTTCCCATCCCCACTGTTTTCGAACTGTTTTGTTCCAACAGTGTTTGCAAAATCATCAGTTGTTCTGAAGCTAACTCGGAATGCACCAAACTCGATAGCCTTTTATCATGGCGGCCTTCCAAACAGCTTTCCAGACTTAATACACAAGGCTTCTGCATGAAATGAAGTGTAACAATTTGAGGGACAGAACACTATTGAAAGACTGCACTCAGTTGAGGTTAATCCTAATAATTTGTTCAACATTAATTGATTACTTTCGTCCTCGCAAACAATCAACCAATTTTGGAATAAATAAGTGCCTTGAACAGTTTCTTCCACATGCAAAGTAACGTCCTATTCTTGTTACTCCCATCACCGAAGATAAGAGAACAAACATGTGATTCAGATCTAAGCAAATGTTCCATGCAAACTCAGGCACCAAAAAGACACGTCGTTAGAGGTCGAATGCTATATTATTTCGATGCGTTTCAGTCGTGTTTTGCTATGCCATTTTCTCCCACGTGTTTTGTTTCGTCAGATTCGCATCAGACAGTCGGCACTTATTTTTGTGGAGTGCAGCCAGTATTTAGACAGCCGCGTATTCATACTCGTCAGTATTTAGTCAGTATTTACACGTCAGTTTAAATACTGACCAGTCTGAATACGCGGTTGTCTAAATACTGACATGTAACCTATTTTTGTGAAGCTTTCCTTGCCATCTTTTAATTGCGGCGTCCAAATATAAATATGATTCTGAGTTTGAGGGTGGCGTCCCTCATGCTTGAAGGACCGAATGCTTGAAATTAATTTTTAGCTTACTTTCAGCCAATCAGAATTGAGTATTCAAAATCTCAAAGTAAATCGCGAAAATCTCAAAGTAATTAAATAAATCCAGGCCATTAGTGTTAATATTGACCGATTAGATAATAAGCAGATGAGTTTTCAAGAATGAAAAATTCTTATGATTTGGCTTCATTAATTTTGATGATTATCTGAATAGTTTTGCGGTTGTAACCAGCAATTTGTAATATTTTTGATTATTTTCCACTGATTTAATACATTTTCTGTTAATATTGACTTCGGTTTTGTGAGAAAGGCATTTAGCCAATAGAAATGCTTAGCAATTTTGATTGGTTGAAATTTTTCAAGCATTCGGTCCTTCAAGCATGAGAACCCTCCCCGAGTTTGAGCTATAATTGATAAATTGAGCGAGATAAATTTTGTTCTTCCCCCAAATAGTAAGTAGAAACTTGCAAAAACTCACCAAATGAAAATTTTTCGTTGATTTTTAATTGTTCTGTAGCGATTGCTTCAACGCGAACATTATGGGCAACTTGCTTGCACAAAATTCCTCATTTGTGCTATTTTTCATCAACTCTTTTTATCTAAATGTTAACAATTTCCAACTTATATAATTGTGAGCCTTCAGTAGCGTGCCGCGGAGGGGGGGGGGGGGGGGGGGAGGCGAGGCGACCGCCTTTGCCATTAGCTCAATTCTGGTTGCTAATTTCTTCCCAAAGGTTCCCCTTTTGGTATAATTTTACGAGACTCATTTTTGGCTAGCCAAAATCAATAACTTTCTAAAGGCGCTCCGGCGCCAATATTACTTAATTTGAGGGGGCACGGCGCGCCGAAAAAAAAAACAATTTTTTGGTCAAACATTAAAAGTGCTCAAAACTTCATTTTCAGTCCAGTTTTTTCTTCAAAATTTGCCTGCGGCTGAGATCATTTTTACAAAATAGGGTCATTATAATATTTTCGGAAACGGTCGACAAAATGTTTCGTTTTTTTTGGAAGAACTGTCCCCTCCCTTAGAAGAAGTTCTGCACACGCCACTGTGTGAGCCTTTTTTAGCTTTGAAAAATAAGATGCGCAAATTGAATTTATATAAATTGATTGTACATTATATCCACAGATTCAAAAAGACAGCCTCGTCCGTCTAGTAAACAATTCATTTTGGGACACAATTGGTTTCAAGTAACTGTTGTCAATAACTTCTTTCTTTCTTTCAAACGAGGCCAACTTGTAATTACTGTTTCAATAATCATAATTCCAATTGGATTGGAGGATAAATCAACACCAAAAAGGACTCAACTATCTTTTTACAATTACTAATATCCACTGGTGACTTAACCTTTACAAACATGATAGTGCTATTGAGCATGGAGTTCATGTGATTGATATGTACAGTTACACAGCAATGGTGGAAAAGTAGTTTTCTCCTCTCGCCCTCTGCCAACCCGAAAGGAAAGGAAAGAAAAGAGTTGTCCTGCCACTGCACTGCACTCGTGTGAGGCTCTATCAAGTTCGAGTGAAGAAGAAGAAGAAGTGAGAAGGAAACATATGTACAAACCCACTGCCGCAGTTCACCACTAAATTGCACAATAACAACAACAATAGACAAATATATATAAATATAAATATCTACAACCGTGTACTCGCAGCAGCACCCAATTTGTTATTTTTCCCAACCGAACAATCTGACTCACTTTTGCCCCCTTTCGCTTTCCGCCTTCGCACCCTATCCTTGCTGTAAATCTCGAGGAAGAGAGCACAGAACACCACCAACACCCCCATCCAAGCGAGCAGAGCCAGCTCGTGGTTGTATATGAAACAGGACAACAGAATCGCAAACATCTGTCTCAGCGTCATGATGATTGTGAAGACGATTGGGCCGAAACGAGAGATAGTCTGGAAGATGAACAACTGTCCGGTGGCGGAACAGATGGAGAGGACAATGCAGTGGAACAGAAACTGTTCATACTTGAGCATGAACAGGACAGAGGTGAGGAAATCGCCGCGAGTGATGAGGGACCAGATGGTGAAGAGACAGGAGAACAAGTTCACCCCGAACATCATTTGGATTGAGCTCATCTTGTAGCTCTTGAACAGCTCGCCCTGCCAGTTAGACGTGAAGCTGTCGAAAGACATGTAGCCAATCAAAATCACCACGCCTGAAACCCCATCATCATCATCTTCTATCATCCATTATCCACCAGCACTTAACCTATACTTAACCTATGCTGCCCAACAGAATGTAGAACACACAGTGATAACAAAATCAACTTGAAAAGATACCTATAGAAACGTGAATAGGCACATGCAATTAAAATCGAGTAGAAAAAGCAAACTTGCGTTTGTCTTAAGGGACAACAAGCTACCTGCAAAGGTGGTTTCGGAGGAGTTGTGTCCTTTATCGTTAACACCCTCGGTCAGCAGAAACATAGTCATTCCGATGGAAATCAAGACAGCTGTCACATACTGGTACAACTCATACACATTCTTCGACACAATCTTGCCCATCATCATCACTGGAATCACTTTGGAAGCCTTGGCTAGAACTTGTGTTGGGAAACTGACATACTTCAGAGCTTCATACTGGCACCAACTACTCAGAATGTTGCTGAGCGAACAATAACTATATTTGTAGAATGGCACCCCAACTTTAGGCGGCCGTTGGTACCACAAAACTGCAGCCGCCGTCATAAAAGCCAAGATCCGGTTCACAAACACCAAAAACTGCGAGTTGGCGAACTTCTCTCCGGAACTAGTAGGTGTCTCGCCATAGCTGTGGGCCATGATTCGTTCTTGCAAAACACCCCACGTCAAGTAGGACACTTGTAATCCACTGGCACATATCACTAAAATGACGCCTTTTTCAAAGTTAGACTTCGCACGCTCCTCGCCCTTTGTTGGCACGCCCAAAACCACCTCCAGATCATTGCCCTGAACGCAAACTTTGACTGCATTGTAGAAAACTCCCCGACTGACAGCCGTTTCTAGGTAGCCCGAGTTTCGCACATATTTTATGATCAAGTATCCGGGCAGCAGAATAGTGGCGTATCCGAGGAAGTTCTTAATGAAGTCAAACACCCATCCGATTCCCCGGGATGAGTCAACAGATCTGATCTGATTTTCAGACTTCAGTTCACCTTCTGAGTGTGCGAAGCTACAGCTAAGAAGTAGCACTGCAAAGCACGCAAGCAGTTTCCGCATTTTCAACCTCAAAAAGATTTATTTTACTGTACTACATTTAATAAACCAACTGATGCAGATGAGCTTGTAAGGTAATATAGTGTAAGACCCAATGCTAAGCACACTAGCACTCAAACGAAACTGCCCAAGGACAGCATTTGACCAAGGAAGAACACCTCCCACTGCCCCTTCAACATACGTCTTTACGAGTTCCTTTTTCTATTCAACCAACTTCACAAGCTCACTCACTTTTGTTTCTTCTTTCTTGGCAGCAGCTCCTTGGAGCCACCACATACAAACTTGAGTATGCAACTGATTTAAAAACAAAAAAAAAGTTTTTTGAACCTTTGTCATCTGAAAACTTGGATAACATTTATAGAGTTTCGAGTAGTGAGCTTAAAATGGTTATTAGGGAGCCTCAAACTATTGTTTTCCCCTATTTGATTTCTTGGTCAAAAACTTTTTAATCGCTCTTGCTTCAAAACCAAACAAAAGCAAAAACGATCTAGATCTAAAATAACAATCGCTTGAAAGAAAATAAATTTTATGAGACAATTCAGCATAGTGCTTATTTCTTGCGAACTTTGTTGTTTTTATACAATTGATACTTGTTATGAGCTTGTTGCATCATAATTTTGAGGTGATTGGCGCAATTGGCATTACTAACCGACAAGGATAAATTCACAAAACTTTCCAACAAGGAAGTTTCAAACTTTTGCAGCGAGTCATAAGATCGCTCTAGTTTCTGCTCTTTTTCGGGCGAGTCTATTAGGAAACATTGCCAGAAATTACTGAGCACTTCGTTGGCAGCAGCGTATGTAATTTGCATTTCCGATTTGAGCTCTGTAGCAATTTTGTCGCCTGATGAACAATTGGCTTCGTTGCATGTCGCACTGCTGGGGAAATCACCTGAGGTAGAAAGTTGGCTGAAATCCTGAATCGGGTTCAAACTAAGACACCCAATTGTGTTCAACACACCCTCGCTCCCGGCAACCCAATTTTGAACCTGGGCAGCACATGCATTCGTGGCTTCCACCACTTCTTTGTTGGAAGAAGGCAAAAACTTGAGCAGTGTTTGGTCAACTCCGAATTGGGAGAACTTCTCTGGGCCGCCTTGGATTGACACTTTCGGCAGCTCCGGCTCAGGAGTGTCGGCTAAATCGTCCAAGCGACACATTTCGTCTATCTTCATCTGTTTGGCCTGGACTGCACATTGTTCCCATGTAATCGCCTCATCATTTGTACGCTTAGCTGCTTTTTTTTCACAACTACCTGTGTTACTTGTTTCCACTAAGAATCTGGAGCTATACTGATTGGTGCGTTTAATCAATGCCTTCACTGTCTGAGATGCACTATTTGATACTATCATACTTTTACTAGAGCTTTCCTTTCCTGTCTTTTTAGAGGAGGATGATTGATCGCCTACGCTTTCGGCAACAAAGAATCCTGATTCTGCATCTTGTAAATTCGAGACGTCCCCTCCTGGAACGAAACCGCCTGACCTCGCTTCTTTCCTTTCCTCGTCTTCTTTCTCGTCAATTGAAGCGCATTCCGCAAACATTTCATTAGATCCGAAATCAAGACGCTCCCTTTGCACGTAATGACTGTGGAAAAAGGAGGCCCAGAATTGCTGTTCGGTCATTTGGCCCGAGACGACTGTTTTGTCGTATTTGAGACGGACTGAGGGATAAATTGCGAAGATTGACTGGATTGTTTCTGCTTTGAGATTGTAGTGAACTGAACTTTTGTTGTCGCCAAATGGATTGGAAGGTTGAATCTCGCAAATGAAAGAGGAGCTCACTCCTAAACATGAACACAACACACGTGAACACAGCAGAAAGTTGGTCGCAAGTGTATGAATTCAGGTATCGAGAACTTTTTTGAACTATTATATCGTAATGAAGCTTACATCAATCATAATCATTGGCTTAATAATAGTTTTAAAGAAACCAACAGAGATGATACTCGATCAACAAGTGATTTTATTCAGCAGGGAATTCATAAAAATGAAATCCAAGTATAAAACTAGCTGGGAGTGAATACTTTTGCAACGTTTCTTTTTGATTCCAGGAATCTTCTACGTGAGCTGAACAACGGATGCTGAGCTTACAGATGAATTTGAAGAATATGCTTTATTGTCAAACTGCTAATGCTATGAAAAAATCTTTAATTGCAGAAAGCGAAGCTATACAATGTTTAATGGGAGTCTAATTCAACTATCATACAGGCTAGTGATAATTTGACAGTATGACATATTGCAACAATAAAGCGACACAATTCTCAGATATTAGTTTTACCACTCGGCGACATATGCTGTCAGACGAATATCAGACAAGGTAGTGATTTTTACGTTTCAAATAGATTACAATTAGATTTTCCCAAAAAAATTTCCCCTTGTTTTTACAGTGAATTGTGCAGACACACCTATCGATGCTTTTCACAATTTTAGGATTATCATTGTAAAACTAACAACTTTTCTGAAAAGTCAACGATTCGTATTCCTGGTGCAAGTCCCGTTTTTGTTTCCCAGAAAGTAATGGTAACTTAGAGTTGAAATCATCACAAGCAAGAAATAGGTATAAATAAGTTTTTTTCATACATTTCTCTATTGGCGCGGAGTTCGGTACAAGCCATTTCAGATCACAATGTGAATGATCACGATTTATTTGTCCAGAAATTTCAAAAGAAAAAATTCATTCGCCAAAATAAATTGATGTAACTAAACAAACAAATTACAGCAAAAGATGGCAAGTTGAAAAGGGTAAAGGAGAGATCCTCTGATCTACCCTGTCCAACAGAAGATTCAATCAAAATTTGTTTTGAAAATAGTTATTGATGATAATGATAATAATAATAATAATAATAATAATACATAAATAATTGAACAATTTTAGAAAAATTCCTACTGGGATCCAAACCCCTTTTCCGGAGCTCCAATCAAGCTTTTTACCACTAGACTAAAGAACTACTACAGTGTAACTTTTAAGAGCCGTATACATTAAAAAAACATATTATTTTTCTTTTGATGATTATATCATTCCCCACCTCCAATCTTGCTTTACCCTCTTACTATTTTCCTTCCATTACGACCCTAATTAATTTATACTTTTGATTTTAGCTTACAGCTTTGATTTTCTTTCCTAAGTACAACTATCTTTATCCAGGAATTAATTAACAATGATTCCAGTCGGGAATCAAACCCGAACCCCAGGGTTTCAACTCCCAGAATTTAGCCACTATACCATGGATCCTTAGGAAACGATAAAAATTACTCAATTCATTATTATTCAAAAAGTATCTATCTCTGAAAACATGGGCTGTCTATAACTCCAATTTCTGTTGAAATTTTTATGTTATTAGGTAGTAATCATTTTGATAGCAGGGCATTGTAAAGCTTCGTTGCCCTTAACGAATGGAACATTTTCCCAGCTCCGTGTAAGTTATACATGCAAATTGAGACTTCATTAACGGAAACTTACGCAGATAGAACAATAACCCTGCGGTTCTGGAACGATAGGGTCTAATGGTTTCAGAATTTTTATGATGTTTAAAACAACAGTTGTAAGAAAGTCATATCTACTATCTTTTGCTTCGAAAGAAGTTTGCTGGACTCAGCGCACGTTATAGCAGGGAAAATTTTAGACTTAATATAGTTACCCTTTTAGATCATTTAAAAACTTAAACGTCTGTCTTGAGTCTCCAATACAATTCTTCAATTTATTTTGATAATATTCATGGAATTAATTGCTAAAAAAAAGTAGGACAAAATTTCATTGCGTCTACCGGATAAATTTGCTTTGATAATAGATGGTTGGTCGGCTGAAACCACCAAATTTATTGGACTGTTTGCAAGTTATAACACATGTTTGGGTGGTTCTGAAAAAAAAACATTAATGACTTTTTTTGCCTTTTATTGATGAGACTAATTTTGGAGGAGAACAGCATATGAATTTGATTGAGTGGGTGGGTATGAATGCCTTTTAAAGAGACATGGCTTGGGTTGCATGTCTTATTTAGGAAATTGTTCAAGAAACAAAAAAGTGACTGAGTTGATGGGTGTCCCTATGGTTGGTTGCACCTCCCATTATTTTAACTCGGCAGTGGGTGAGTTTTGTTCTGATTCATCTATCACAACTTATAGATAAAGTTCAAGTGATGATGTTCCGATTACGCAACTTAAAATGGGTGCAAATTGTACCCATTGACTGATCTTTCACCACTGCTACGGGCATCAACACGTTGCTTTAGTGTGTTCAATATGCTTCCTCGTTACGTTGAAAATAAACTATTTATTTGTCAAAACTTTACTACAGAAAACTTACACGACATGCTTCTCATCCCCAATGAAAGAGAAAACAGTAATTTCTCTCGTTTAAAAATCGCATATCTTCATTTCATCTTGCATTGCATTGCAAGCCAACTCAAAGACTCTAGCCGATGTGAGGTACCTTTTTGACGAAGCTCTTGATTCCTTTCGTTACTTGGGCAAAAAGAAGAAAATCAGTTCGAGAACCCTTCTATAAAAACACAAAATGGGAATTCAAATGATCCCAACGAAAACGAAAAAAAGCTGCAAAACCTATTGAATTTTGTGCTACGCCTTCAGATATTTCTGAAAATATTGAAGCAAATGATTTCGTACATCAAGTTCTTAAGAAAACAAATTCAATTATCTTCAAATTGTAAATATATCGGAACTGGGTTTGTTGTACCAACTTCAAACATTTCAAGCGTTTTTTCAGCAAAGCTGGATATTCTTACAAAGACTACAGAAAAAAGCTCTTTCCTGCAAACTTGAAAAATGCAACTTTTTCTTCATTGTAATCATAAATTTTGTGATAAAAACTGTTAAAGAAATTGTGAACATATATACTAAACATAGCCAAAATACAGTTGGAAAAGAGTCATGAACGTGAGAAAACAAAAAAAATAACTCACTTTTTCGAAAAACTTTCGAATATCAAAGAAAAAAATTATATTTCCTTATCTATACAGAACTTAATTGGCGTTTCATTTGAGACATGTTTCAGAAGTCTTTATATTGACAAATTTCAGCTTTTTGAACGTATTATTTTTTGCATGTTTAACGAAAGATTTTTTGCACGTTTAAGCTATATTGTAGATTGTAATGCTTAAGATTTTTCATTTGGCAAATAATTAAGAAGTAGCTATGTTGGTCTGTCAAATGGCCAAAACATTGAAAATGTTGAAAATTTTACTCAAGCCGACATTGTGAAATCTGTTGTAGAGCGAATGCTTTTACTCTACAATTTATCCATATTCGCAACGTAGAAGTATCAAACTTTTGTTTCACAATTGTTTTAGCTAAATTAAATTTTCTCAACCTTATCTTGGGATGCTGTCGGGGTACACTCAGCATCTCTGGTGTCGCATATCGTGTGTCTATATCTGGGGTCGCATATCTGGTGTCCAAGTATGACTGCTCAAATCCTTTGGTTTTCGAGATATGGCGTTTTTTTACGATTGCTTCAATTAATTTTCAGAAAAAATTTTAGATATTAAAGTAAACCGAACTTGAATTTCTCTAACCCATAGCGGCGTGCTGTCAGGATACTCTCAGGGCTTACACATCTGAAGTTCAAGTATGACTGCTCAAATCCTTCTGGTTTTCAAGATATGGCAATTTTTTTTTAAATTTTTTTTCAATGAAAAACTTAGATATAAAATGAAGTTACCGAACTTGAAATTCTCAAACCCATAGTGGCGTGCTGTCGAAAAATACTCAAGAGTTGCAAAGCTGGTGTCCAAACACGACTGCTCAGGTTCTTTTGGTTTTCGAGATATGGCTTTTTTATGATTGTTGCAACTTTTTTTTAAAAAAAAGTCAAGATATAAAACAAGTAACCAAACTTGAATTTCTCAAACCCACAAAGCGTGCTGTCAGGAAACACTCAGGGATTGCACATCTGGCGTTCAAGTAGGACTGCCCAAATCCTTTTGGTTTTTCAAGGTAAGTCAATTTTTGTGTTTTTTTTTCATTTTTTTTGAAAAAAACTTTACCGAACTTAAAATTATCAACCATAGTGGGTTTTAGAGATAAAGCGATTTCGAAGCTTTTTTTGAGTTTTTTTGTCACAAAAAAAATATATAAATTGAAAAAACCGAACTTGAAATTTTCAACCTTATACTGGGGTGCTGTCAGGATACACTCAGAAAATGCAAATCTGTCGTCCAAGTATGACTTCTCAAATCTTAAAGGTTTTCGTGATATGCCAATTTTTATAATTTCTTTTCGTTCAAAAAATTTCGATTAAAACCAAAATTAATGGAACTTGAAGTTATGAACCCTATATTGATGTGTAGTCGGGGTACACTCATTTATTGCCATTCTTCTCTCCAAATGTGACTGCTCCATATCTTTTGGTTTCCGAGATGCTGGCTTTTGCTGATTTTTTCATTTTCGTCTCAAAATACTTGAATGAAAAAACCAACCGATCTTGAAATTCTCAACAGCAAGGCTGTGGTTCTGTCAGGGTACATTCTGGGGGTACTGTCAGGGTCTCTGTCTTTTACTATCAGGGTAAAAATGAGGGATACTGTCAGAGCCTCTAATTTTTACTGCAGCTACATCAGCTTTTTGAACGTAGTATTTTTTGCAGGTTTAACGAATGATTTTTTGCACGTTTGAGCTATATTGTAATGCTTAAGAATTTTCACTTGGCACATAATTAAGAAGTCTATATGTTGGTCTGTTACATGGCCAAAACATTGAAAGGGTTGAAAGTTTTACTCAAGTCGACATTTTGAAATCTGTTGTATGGCGAATGCTTTAACTCTACATTTTGTCAATACTCCCAACGTAAAAGTGTCAAACTTTTGTTTCACAATTGATTTATCTCAAAAAAATTTTCTCAACCTCAAACTGGGGTACTGTCGAGGGGGGGGGTACACTAATAGGTTGCATATCTGGAGTCCAAGATATGCAACCCATGAGTGCCATATCTCGAAATCCTTTGGTTTTCGAGATATGGCGTTTTTTTATGATTGTTTCAATTTTTTTCAAAAAAAAATCAAGATATAAACAAAGTAAACGAACATGATATTCTCAATCCCAAAGTGGCGCACTGTCACGATATCCTCACGAGTTGCAAAGCTGGTGTACAAACATGACTGCTCAGGTTCTTTTGGTTTTCGAGATATGGCGTTTTTTATGATTGTTTCAATTTTTTTTCAAAAAAATCAAGATATAGAATAAAGTAACCGAGCTTGAATTTCTCGAACCCATAAGGGCGTGCTGTCAGCAAACACTCTGGGGTTGCAAATCTGGCGTTCAAGTAGGACTGCTGAAATCCTTTTCGTTTTCAAGATAAGGCAACTTCTGTGTTCTTTTTTTTCAATTTTTTAGACAAAAATAAAGTAGCCGAACTTGAATTTCTGTCAGGTTAAACGCAGGGTTTGCAAATCTGGCGTTCAAAACAGACTGCTCAAGATTTTTTGGTTCAAGAGATAAAGCGAGTTTTATGCTTTTTTCAGTTTTTTTTGTTAAAAAAAAATTGGATATAAAATTATTATTATTATGATTGTTATTATATTGGATTTAGTGACAAGTCCGATTTCAGGGTGGAGGAGAAAATATCAATGTCATCAGGTAAGCGATTTGCTGTTCTAGTAGCTTGGAACTAAAAATTTTGCTCACATAAACTTTTCAAGGGCCTAATGCTGGTAAAACTGACTATAGGACCATGTCGCAATACTCGAGGTCTCGTTTGGGTAGATTCTTGCAGGGAAAACCCTTGCGAAGGCCCTTCCCGTGAGCCCTGAGGTGAATGGAAGAATTGAATATGCTCGCTGAAGTTGTAATCGAAGTAATCAGTCACAATTTTCCGCAGAAGTAAAAAGGTGTTCAGTTGGATGTAATAAGCAACTGGAAGAATGTTTAGGAAGGTTAGAGCACCGGTGTAGCTCATGTGAGGGAGACACCACTTACAGAATTTTTTTCTGTACGTTTTCTAGAACTGATATGTTTGTCTTAGATAGGGCGCAACAATTTGATCCAAACAGCAAGGATGGAACAACCATGCTTTTGTAGAGGTTGAGTTTGCTGTAAACTGGCAGACTCGTTGTGTTTCTTTTGAGCATGTGGAGAACTTTGATGGATTTTGCGGCAACTGCTTTGAAATGATTGTTCCATTTAAGATCGCTACGAACAAGAATACCAAGATCTTTTTGAACATCTGTTCGAGGAATCACTTCGCCGTTGAAGTTATATGCAGTATCGTTGTTTTTACCGAAATGGATGTGAGTACATTTTGCGACGTTGAAGGGCATTTTATTAGCAACACTCCAATTATAAATTAGAGAAAGTTCAGACTGGAAAGAAGTCGAACTATTAGTCCGAATAAACTTGGAGTCGTCAGCTAGTAAAAGAGGCTTCGAGTCAGCGCACGTTGATGGCAAGTCATTAATGAAAAACAGGAATAGTAAAGCTCCAAGTACTGATCCTTGCGGAACCCCGCTAGTTACTTCAATTGGGCCAGATATTTGTCTCCTACTTTAATTCTCTGAGAGCGGTTGTTCAAATATTATTTGATCAATTTGAGAATTTTTCCACGTACACCATATTGAAAAAGTTTGAATAACAATATCCCGTGGTCCACTTTATCGAACGCTTTCTCAAAATCGGTGTAAATAACATCAATGAAATTTTCATACTCAATTTCTTTGTAAAGGTGATCGAGATATATCAAAAGTTGAATTTCGACAGATCTTCCTTTCCGAAAACCAAATTGTGCATTGTGTATCAAGGGCTTGAAATGATTGTATAGACTTCGAAACATGCATCGTTCGAGGATCTTGGAAGACATATCAAGAAGAGAAATGGGTCTATAGTTGGTTACATTTCGCTTGTCACCTTTCTTGTGAATTGGTGTTACTATTGCGGTTTTCCATTGCTGTGGGAAGACACATGTCTGTTTGATCTTATTGAAAATTTGACTCAGGGAGTGGCATAGTGCACTGGCGACATTTTTGAACAGCGCTGGGGGTAGATTGTCGGGTCCACGTGACTTAGTTACGTTGAGGTCAAGGCAAATCTCAAGAATAGATTCTTCCGAAGTATCAAAGGTATCAATGATTTGATATTCGTGCACTAAAAATTGGTTGCTTTGAATTGAGTCCTCATCATCTAATGATGATGATAAGATGAACACGCTAGAGAAGAAGGAAGCAAATAGATCAGCCTTAGACTGATCTGAGTAAGCACATAGTTTATCTAGATAAACGTATGACGGTATGGTCGTTGTCTTAAATGTTCGAAAATACTTGAAAGGCTGATTTTTACTCCTGTTGCTGGCTAGTTCATTCTCATAGTTTTCCTTGTCTTTTCCTGTCAAGACTGTAACCTTTTCATTCTGTTTAGTAGTTTTCGGATTCGATCGACCAAACTTTTTCTCAAAAGCATGCAAACGCTTTATCTCGTTCGATGTTGAGGATGTGATCCATGGAGGCAGCTCACTGCGGTGCTTCGTTCGAATGGGGACAGTTTTGGAGATTATATGCTGTAACCAGTCATACCATTCCGAGAGTAAAACATTAGGGTTTGACCAACAGTGACCTGTGAAGGGATTTCGCGATATCTGGAGCCTCATAGCTTCATAAGTAGCTTTGGTGTAGCTGAAAACTTTTCCGGGTGTTGTGCGCTTAGGCGAGTAAAGAACTGAAGATATAACAAAGGCGACAGGTATATGATCTGACAATTTACTAATGTTGTCTGTTACAGGTTTAATGTCAAGAACATCTGTGCTAGGCGACACCAAAACCAAATCTAACGTTTTTTCACGTGTTGTAGGAAACTGAACAGATTGGGTGGGATTTAGTTTTTCAATGCCAGTAATGAATATTTGTTCGTCGGGAAATGCAGAAGAATAATCACGCCAGTTAATATCAAAGTTGAAGTCTCCACATATAACCACGTTTGAATATAAAGGGAAGACACTTTCAAGATAAATAAAGAAGTGTTCAAGGAATTGGTGGTCTATAGCAAAGGGACTTGTCCTAGGAGGAAAGTAACAACAAACAAATAGCAAGGTTTCAGAAGTGGACGAGACTGTACAAGCTGTGCAATGGTGGACTATTTCATCAGGAAGGCGAACTGGTTCCGAACTATGTTCATTTTTTATTCCAATGAGAGTGCCGCCATGACTGGAGTGACCATGATCGTTCATTTCACGGTCGGTTCGGTAAATATTGTATTGATTAAGAAATAGTTCAGAGTCACTTATCTCAGAAGTTAGCCAGGTTTCGGTTAGGCATATAACGTCATGATTGCTCTTGAGAATATAATTTGCGAAAGAAGTTCTACGATTTATATTAATGAGGCTTCGTGTATTAAAGCATAGGGCGGATAACGGGTGGGTGTTGGAGGTGGTGTCAGATAGTCAGTCTTCTAACTGAACTTTCACTCCATTCTTGAAGAGCTCGAGATTTTTAATTTTCAGGTCTTTGGGTTTAACATTTTCGTTGTCAATGAGAAATCTGCGTTTTTCTAGTAGCTTTTTCTCAATCTTGATTTCGTCTCGTTTCAGGGATTTTGACAGGTAAACTTTGTATACTTTTTGGTTGTAAGTATTGGAGTAGTCTTTCAAGTGGGTTGCTCTTGATAATAATCTTTCAGATATTAACTCGTTTTTAAATTTGACGATAATTGTCCTTGGTCGAGTGCTTTCAGGCTTGAATGGTCCAAGTCGCTTAATTGAAACAGCAGGTTCATTAGTATCAATTCCTAGATGGGTTAAGACGCCATTTACATTTACTAAATAAAGTAACCGAACTTGAAATTTAGAACCCTATAGTGGGGTACTGTCAGGATACACTCAGAAGTTGCAATTCTGGCGTCCAAGCATGGCTGCTCAAATCTTTGTGGTTTTCGTGAAATGGTGATTTTTATAATTTCTTTTTCAGTTTAAAACACTTGGATATAAACCAAATTTTTTTAAAAAAATTTTACGTTCTGGAACTTGATTTGTTGTTGTCGGGGTACACCCATTGATTGCAACTCTTCTCTCCAAAATGTGACTGCTCCATATCTTTTGGTTTCCGAGACGTGGCCCACTAATTTTATCTGCTCAAATCATTTTGATTTTCGAGATATGGCATTTTTAAAAAAGAAACGGTTGAATTAAATTAGGGTCACTAAAAATATCACTGTTTTAGTACATCTTTTAGGAAGCTATTTTTTACGTTCAACATTCTATTTGAATGTACCGTAGGTACGAGTCCTGCGCTAGTACTTCTTTAAATTTCAGGAAAAAAATTTCATGGACATTTTCTCGATAAAATCAACACAATTTGAGAAACTGGATCGAAAAGAAAAATTTTTATTCCGCTGGGAAATCTGAAAAATTAAAGCCACTTTCGAAACTATATTTCGATCACGCTTTTCGTGAAATTTAGACTTTCGCTGTCCGATAGTGGATTTTGCCTTCCTTTCAACAAAGGAAATGAAGTGAACTTTAAAAGAAATCAAAATTTAAACGCTAAAAATCAAAACTGAGCGCGAACAAATTTGAAGACTCTCTCCTGAAAAATCATCAGGACCTATTCAGTACGTTCATGACTCTTAAAAAGCTAGGTATACTACATGAACAACAAAATAAGCATAAACAGTAAAAAAAATGGAAAAGTCATGAGACCGGTTATAATACTGCTCATGGAATACCCAAAAATTAATTGCGGATGTTCGATTGCTTTATTTTTGAACTATCAAGTTTAACACGAAGATGAAACAAGATCTAACCAGTCAATTGAGATTCTATGTCATTTGAAGATCGCGTAGCCCAGAACTCTTCTGCAGTGGTTATTCCAGTTGGCACTAGTTTCTGGTACAATTTGAACAGCTGTGGACTTTTTTGGAACATCTTTATTTTATCTTCCAGTTCAGAATTAATTTTTCGTGCAAACTTGGGGAGTATCTGCTGCACCATTTCCTTTACTGCATCACGATCTGCCTCAGCTTTGTTTGGTCTAAGGAAGAGAAATGTGAAGGCTTCAGAATTATGAAGCGTAATTTGAAGTTGCTTTTTTGCTTTACGTTGCGGCGAAATTTTAAGCTTATCTACGTCAGCAAAATAAACGGAGACCGCAAAGTCTTCCTGACCCAATTGTGCCCATGCAACTCTGGTACTCAGAACAAATAGCGTTCCTTGAAGTTTTTGAAACTGAACTTCTTCCACTTGCAACAAAACATCTTCTCCTTTCGACGACGCTCCATTGCTGCTTCTTACTTTCTCCATATTATTATTAATTCCCACCAATTTCATTCTCACTCAATCCATTGTCACTGAAAAACCGAAGTTGAACATATCTTTGTCGAACTTTCTTTTGCTATATTTATTTATTAATACATCAGGTCAGAAATTTTATTACGCCAAGACAAAAAACAGTCAATGGTCAAAACGTTTTCGAATTAACAAATAGGTAATCAGAAGGTCAAAGTATCATAGTAACCGAGGTTACAGTCAGGAGTCCCTTCATCACGTATTCCAGTCAAAATCCTTGGAATTTCTAGATATGGAAGTGATAATAATAAAAGAAGATGACAAGTGTTTGTAACATTCGTCTACTGCAGTCACACATGAGGCTTAAGAAAAATAGGCCCTATAACCATTGGCTCAAGAGTCAGGGACACTATCTCTTGTGTTTTTCTACCTCAAATCAGTCGGAGCCAATTCGGTTCGTTTGTGACATGAGACTACGACCCGTTACAGCTTAAAGGCTACTACTAAAATATCCCCCCACTCTAGAATTAAGAACGTCCCCATACTTAGGTCTCTAGATACCCAAAATACATGAACGCCGTTGAAAACCGGGTCGGAACAATCCGTTAAGTTACTTTTTATTAGACTTTTTATTAGACTTTTTATTAGACAATTTAATTTTTCATATAGTATATTGAAAAATTAAATTTCACTCCAAATCAAGTGCTTTTTGCTTCTCTCAAGGTCAAACTTCCAAATATGACCGACTGGCACATACTCCCCGGACTCGAGATCGATGTCCTCATCGAGTGCTGTCTTCTGCCAGTGAGTCCCCGAAAACCGAGTGTTGCTCAAGGTACAGTGCCAGTGGTCATTTACAGAAGTTTGCAGCAGACTTAAGCTTATCTACACCCCAAAATTCACGGCCATGTAAAATTTTCACACTATCGCTAAACAGCAATCAAAATCTGCACACACCTGCACCCTTGAATTCTCGCTTTTTAAGCCAATCATTTAAAATTTCTTTTGTCCCATTCAATCAGGAAATTGTCATGCAGCATTTTCATTTATATAGTAAATATAGTATATTAATAACAAAATTTGATTCGTTAAAATTTCTTTTTCGTGAATCCAAGTTTCACCCGGATCCACACTCAAGCCCCCCTTCGCTCTCAAGACTCAAGATCCATTCGAACCATCCACTCATCTCGCACTCTTCGCCTTGGAGGTGCCGCACCCTGAAGTACTAGATACGGCAAACTGTCTCAACAGTTCTTCTTCATCATCGGAGCTAATCACGATCTCCTCCCAAGCCTTCAGCTGTTCATAGGATCGCATCCATTCTCTTTGCTCCTGCAACCTCTTTGCCTGGTTGGGTAGTGCCTTCACCCTAGATTCCCGGTTCGAACAAAAGGAGTTGTGCAGGCTCAAGCTCACGTTCTTCGCCAGGTCCTCCTCTAGTATCGATTCCCTCGCTTTGGTATTGTCTCTAGAAATTTTACCCACTCTCTTCCATCCTGTCGTGATCGCATTTCGATGGGTCAACAGGGGTCTCTTGAAAGCTTCCGGTCCAATCTCGGCCTGGAACTGTCGATACTCCTTTTGATGCTTTCTCATGTGATCTTTCGTTGTCATGTACAACCAAGACGTCAGTGTCGCCCGAAACTATGGAAAGTACCTCAAACGGCTCCATACGTGTCTGACTTCCGTTGGTATGGCGAATACTTTGCACGCAGTCTCAAACAACTCGAGTCTCCTGCTGTAGTCTATCGCGTATATTGACTCAGCCGTTGGTGTCCATGCTTCCCGATACTTCGTTATATTCTCTTCTATCCATCTCAGAGCCAACATCGTACTCACTATTAAGAGCGTCACCTTCTGCCGGTGATCCGGTAGTCCGATCGACCGAATTTCTTCCATATCCCACACCAGGCAAAGGTTCTTGTGATCTGGATACCACACCGTTTGTGCCAAACAGTGGCATGGGCATTCTCCATGGGTGATCTCAATGCTCCTGAGGTTACGCTCCCCCGAGGCTTCCAAGAGAGGCTCAAGCTCTATCATTTTCTCATGCATCGTGTCGCTATCTTCCATGTTTGGAGCACCTCCCACAGGTTTTCCGATCACGTTTTGTCTCTCGTGATCGCTTGTGTTCGCACTCTCCAACTTCAAAAGTTCTTCTCCCCAGATTTCACTCAAGTCATCTCTCAATTCTTTTGGTACTGTCCCTCTGATTTTTCTCAACAACTTGTGCGAGTGATGCGATATCCGAGCCAACCTCACGCACTTGGGCACTGAGAAGGCCTTGTCCACCAGTACTCTCTGGCTGGATGCTTCCACCATCGCTATGTGCAGTGGGTAGTGGCTTCCGCACAAGTTGGCCATCATTGACCCTATCAAGGATTTTGCGTTCAATGGCAGGCCATAAGCTTCGCTCATGGGAGACCCCATTTCCGCCTCGAGACCAACCTTCCAGCTCCGGATGTGTTTTTGAGTCACCTGCAACACCCCAGGCCATGATTCTACGCTCAACGCCGTCACTAAATGGTGTTCAGACTCTAGCCTCTCCAGTGACTGCAGACTACACATTCTCGAGAAGAATCCGAGAGCTGTCGCTATATTCACCGTAGTTCTCGCGTAACACTCGGCAACTATTTGCACTTCACTTTTCTGCCTTTCCGTGATGTCTTCAAACCAAGTGACCAGGTCTTCTTTTTGAAAGGATAGTATCCTGACACATGACCGTCCATCGCAGGTGTGCTCTCCGTTCCCACACGTTGAATCCAGACAGCTACCCGGCTCCATCTTCTTTGCTGACCCGAGCTTGCTCGTCTTTTCGCCTGACTCCTGCATCTGAGGTGAGATTAGCTTGTGCAACACACTCAACTTTGCCAGATCTTCATCTTCCGTTGGTGCTAACCTCACTCGCTCGGTGGTTTCCTCGATCAGACTCGCGTGGGGATGTGGACACCAGGAGGGTCTTAGTAGCTTCCATACCACTCCCAAGTTCGTGATTAACAAGCCATTTCCATCGCCCATGTTCACTTCAACTCTCTTGTTCGAGCGCGGTATGCTTACCACCTCTGGTGTTTTTTCAAGAATCAGGCCCAGGCTCGGCCCCTCTTTCTCCACCGCGTCTATTTCCACTATTCTTTCTGTCCAAAACTTCAGTAGCTCCGCTATTTCCTTCAATGTCTCGAGGGCCTCCCACCACGTCCGGGAGGTGTTCCTCGTCTTGTTCCTCTCCAATGGATCACTCGTCACTTGCTTGCCCGTGGCCTGGTGTGCCTTCGAGATCCATTCTTTGCCGACATCCACTTCCCATGTCTGTCCGTTCGTTGAACCTCTCTTTACGTTTATCTTCTGAGGCTTGAAGTCTTCCTCCGATGTCGAACTGGTGGAAGCCTCTATTTCCCTCTCTACTTCGATTGGTCTTCTGAGCTCCGAGCTGCTCTTGTATGCCGCCGTCTTGCATCGAGCCAAAACCATGGGCGCCGTCTCTCTCAAGTTTCCTTCCGAAACAGCATCCACTGAAGGACTGCCCAATCCCTCCACTTCTCTCTTCCTCTTGCGAGTCTTCACATCTCTGCTTGAGGGTGTTGTGGCTATCATCACTGATTCGACCTCTCTGTCTACCTCCAATCCTTCCAACTCTTGCCTCCCGCCTGCTCGAGCCTTAAGGATATTAGTACTTTTAATCATATTACTAGTCCCAACCTTATCCCTTTTTATATCATCAACTATTTTATCTACAGTTTTTTCTGTTTCAGAGTAGAGCTGTCCTCACATTTTTCTTCTCTAGTCTTCGATCGTGCATTCCTCAGCTCTACCAGCTTGCTCAGCAGCTCTTTTCTCGCCTTCTCATCCAGGCCCGTTCCTATCAGAAGCGGTTCTCCAAACCTTACGACTGTGTCCCACAGTTCCTCCTTGAATTTGTCCAGCGTCGTCTCGCTGCCCACTTCTTGATTGAATTCTTTTAAGAACTCCTGCCAAGCATCGTCCTTCAGTGACCCCAGGAACATGTCCATGTTCCCTTCGAAAGTGTTCTTTTCCCTTTCCTCCGAGCTCAAGAGTATCATCCCCATATTGGAGGTCTCATTTGCCAATGGCAATTCCAGATTCTTCCGGGGGGACGGAGTCAGAGGTGGAGTGGCAGTATCTGCCCAATTCTCCTCGCTCAAGTCTTTCAACAGCTCTTGAGTGGTGAGCTCCTCCCCTGATGGTCCTGGTTCAGGCGTATTCCCCACTTCCATGTCCTCACCGGCTTCACTGAGAGTTTCATCCATACTCTCTTCTTCTGACTCATTTCTCCTTCTCTCGAGAATTCTTTTGAACCGGTCCTCCACGGGTCCACTCCTCTTGTCTCCAGGCGTGTCCACTGAAAGTGGTGATGGTGTCACAGGGTCCAATTTTTTGTATTCCGTCAGGGCTACGTGCAGCTGGCCTGCTGCATCTAGTTCTTTTCCCTCCTGTCTCATTTCCACCTGTTCTAAGCCATAGGGTGCCCTGTACTTTCTTGTTGCAAATTTCATGTCGTCCACCAATGCGACGTGCCCCTCCATCATGATCATCCTGCCATCATCCCATATTGGTAGCATGTTCTATAGTCCTTCCTGCTCAAGAGCTCTCAAGACCTTCCGCACCTCATATCCGGGGGGCTGCGAACCTCTCATCTTTTTCGCTTGCGTCGTCCACGAATTTATCTTCGCCTCGCTAGTATGGAAGTAGACCGCCGCCGTGTAGCCGAGGAACAGGGGGTCCCAGCCATCAGTGAAATACTTCTGCATTTCCTCCGTCGTCATCCTCGCCATTATGGAGGGACTACCAAGGGACTGTTCATTCCCAAGGTCATCCTCCTGACTATCGGGAACTCAAGCATGGCAGCTGGAAGGATTTCTTTCTCCATTATGGCCTCCAGCTCCCTCTTGACCAGTGCAAAGCATTCCTTCCAAGCAGGAATCCTCAAGATCTCTCGTCCGTCTGCCGTCAATGGGTTCAAGTTCCAAAACTTGGGATACGTTTCGATGGGGCCCTCTCGCTTGCCTCCCATTCTACATTGCATTTGCCCCCTAAAGTTGT